CTTGCTTATTTTGTTTCTGGTTTGTCATGTTAACCTGGCGGTTTGCCAGCTGTGACTGTGACGCAATGTGCATTCCCTTTCTTGTCTGTTGAGGGCATGCCAGGATATACTGCTTGGGCCTCAGAGCACAGGATTTCTGCACTGGTCTGACTGAGCCAACCAAGAATGGACATTAGTAAGTTGTTCACCCTGTATTCAGGTTGCGAATCTTGACACCTCTGGGGCACACACTGAACCAGGCAGAGAGAGAGAGAGCTGGGGGGTTGGGTTCTAGCAAGCAGATGCAGGTGTCCCAGCTGCAAGGGGACTTCTTTTGAAGCCATCATAAGGCGATTCTGCAGACAGGTGTCATAACTCTCTGGGCTTCCTAGATAGATCATGGGTTTTTGAAACTTTTACCTGTTCACCTGCACTGAAAATTGATTTTATCCTCCTCACATGCACAATGATGTATTCTGGTGTTTGTTTGGTAGCAGTAGGGAAAAGATTCATACATTTAAATTGCAGTTTATTGCGATTGTAAAAATTTAGAAATGTGTAATGGAAAAGGGAACGTCATATAATCTCACAACCCAAAGATACTGCTATATGTTTACTTTTGTACATAAAAATCTATATCAATCTATTATTTCCACTTCAGAGTTGTGAGGTGACATGGTGCATGATAGGAAAGAATTATAATTGAGACCTATTTGAATATATAAATATACATATTTAAAATTTTAAACTTGTGTATGTATATATGTACATATATAGATTAAATTCATAGTTTTTAGCTAACATAGGCTCATACAATAGTTCTACTTTTCCTCTACTTCTTAAAATTTAAATCATACACATTTTTTCATAAATAAAAACCTTAATTGTTTTTAGCAGCAGCATGTTTGGATCATATGCATTTATATATTTTATTTTAAATATTTTCAAATCCTTTCTTAGTAGAAAGATGCTAGAACATACAACAAACAAAATATTCATACGCTCCAAGAGTCAATTTTAAGTGGGTCTTTTTGTGCTTTTAAGTGGGTCTTGTATCTCCGAGAATAATTTATTGAACTTACTTTAACTTTTTTCCTCTCGTCATCTGGTTTTCTTTAGTGGTATTTACTTTTCTCTACAGTTTAACAGCTCAAATAGAAAACTTGTAATTCCTTACTGATTCCAAAGGATAAGAGTTTTCCTGGAATTTCCCTCCTCCTGGAGACCACCTCAAAGCTTCACCCAGAGTAGAGGCTATGACTAGCAGCCACAGAACTTTGATCAAATTGGTAGCTACTTGATATCTGTATTATCAGTCAACATAATTTGAATTCCTTTAATATGTTGTTATAATTGTGGATCCATTATAAATCCCAATTCATGTGGAAGAAATATCAAAAGTAATCACAAGAAAATACCCATTTACAAAGACTTATAAAATATTTAAAACTGAGTGCTTACCAGGAAAAAGACACCATTAAGTACTTACTAGGAAATCCCCTCTGGGGAGTCTGTCCCCAGGACCTGTTTTCCTTCTCACTGAGGCTTTAAAAGCCACTCGTTGAGATGGTGTTTGGGGCAAGATGTACTCTCCTTTTTAAAAAAGTAAATTTCTCTGTAATAGGCCTAGGCAGGACTTCAGTGAGGTTATTTTGTTCTCATGTTTGCTCAGCTGGAACACAAGCTCCTTGAGGATGGGACGCGGTGTCCTGCACACAGGTTTTCCATACTAACCTGTGGGGTGGAAGAATTCCCCTATTGCCTGGAAATCAGCAGTGTCCTCAGCTGTGAACCATTTTGTTGCTAATTTGATGCTATTCTGATGTCTATGGAAAGTTCCTTCTTCTCCAAGGTCTCACACCCTTTCACTTCAAAGTGAGCTTTGCTGCTGGGCTGTGTGAAATGCCACCCTTGCACTTGAGTCTTGAGTGGTGCAGGAAGCCACCAAACCATCAGGCCACTTTCAAAGTCATAGTGAAACCAGAGTTTTGGACCCCAGGCCCAGAGTTCTGGAATTTCACATGCTAAGTCTGGCCAGTCGCCGTTATACGCCAAATAAAGACGTAGGACGAAGGCAAAGAAAGGAGATTTGTTACACACTGTGGAAAGAGGTGGAATGGGCACTCAGCCCATGTCCAGCCATCTTTGGCTTATAGACATAAGCTGCAAGTTTAAGTAGATAAAGAACTGGGGACAGGGAACACAGGTGTGTACACACAGGTAAACAGTCCAAATCCCAGTGTTGCTCTTTAGCTTAGTCTGCTCCAGGTAGGGAGCTCCAGGTAGGGAGCTCCAGATAGGGAGTTGTTAATCTGGAGTCAGGCAGATTGTCCATGTGAGGAGGCTTTTCTGCTGGAGGTAGTCTCTTGTCCTGAAGATGTTATTATCTGTCTTTCCTGGAATCCAAGGTGATTGAAAGGTGACTGCAGAGAGACTAGCTTGAAACAAAGACGGATACAAAATGAAGGTGAGGTGCTGTGCTTTTCTCCTCTTTTAGTTAATTCACAGGCCTGAGTAAGGAGTCCATGCTTTTCAGCAAAAGCAGTTTGAGCACCTCTTACAATGGCTTCTTAGGCTGTCATTCCTGTGTTGTCTGCACAGAGCACAGAACTGGGTGAGCTGGAGGGCGGCACTTGTTTGTTACACTGAAGAAGCTGTTGGGAAAGTAATTGTTTTTTCAGTAACAGCTCCAGTTGTTAGGATGGGTTTGTAAGGCTGTGCCTTCCCCAGGTAGCACATCTGAGGCCTGGGCTCCCAGCCACTGTTCCTGCGCTGGGCCAGGAGACAGACCTCTTTTCACACCATTCACATAGTTCTGTGCCACTGTGGGGACATGGTAAGCCCTGTCAGCCTGTCACTGTTCTTACCTGAATGAGAACTCCACACAGGAAAGAAGCGGGTTCTCTAGCAAATTTCATGTGTCCATTCATTTCCTCAGTTAGTTAGAATTCAGCATTCCCTGAATATAATAGACTTGACATTCATTTAACAAAAATTGTATGATTGCTGAGCTCAAGACGAGAAGAGAATATGTTTCTGAATCAGCTCAAAAGGTAAGCTGAATCCTTTAAATTGTTTATAAACATATGTTTTGATGCTGTAAATATGGGAAATAGGCAATCCTGATGCTTGAGTTTGAGAAGTGCCGTACCAGACGAGTGGATGAAGCAGAGGAACAGTCATGGACAGAAGTCTGGACATAATGCTCTTCTTCCCACAAGCTAACTTGCAGATCAGTAGTGACGATCAGTGGCAGTGTTCCACAGCTTTGTCACCTCCATTCCGTCTTAGGATCAGACTACTTCACACACCACTGCTGCTTTTCATTGTATGCCTTTTAATGCAATTCACATTTTAAAAGTCATGTTCAATGAATTTCTTACATAAAGACTTAAAAAATTACAACTCAAGTCTCTCTAACTGGAATCTATTGATAAACTTGTAATGATTGAATTGTCCCTTCAGAGACATTTAGGAAAAGATAAGGCATAAGGAGTCGAAGAATAAATAAAAATTTTATGATATGATTTCAATAAAGAAAATGAAATCAATGTTTTGCCCATGTTCTTAAGAAGTCATATGCTCAACCCTAGTCATCCTGCAGCAGTTGCAAATATAAGTAGGTGTGTATTGATACAGTAGTGTAAAACATAGGTGCTGTTTATTGGGTACCTACTTCTCGTTTAAATTCTGAAGCACTTGAGGGGGCATAATAGATAAAATACTTTGAAAAGACAAACCGGGGTGGGGATAGAAAATGCAGAGAATGTGCCTGTGTGCGCGCATGTGTGTGTGTACTTGCGAGCGTGTGCCCTCATTCAGAGACCACCTTGGATATGTGCTATGACTTGGGCAGACTCACTGTTATCTGTGAAAATGGGTAGTAAGTCTGAGAAAGATTAAAGAGAAACATTGCAGAAACAACGAGACACACAAGTTTGTGTGAACTCACAATGGCCTGTTTGCCTGTGTGTGCTTTTCGGTGCCACAGGATCCAGTCAGTTTCCTATGTAGGTGTTCTGATGCTGGCGGCTGTGAGACAGTTTGACTGCTAGGTGGAGCTCCAGCATCACCCTCCTCCCTCCCTCAGTTAGGGCTATGCAAACTCGCTTCCCTTCAGTCAGAGCCAGCAAGCCCGAAGAGAGTGTCTGCCAGTTGGTTCCTTACACCTGCTGGTTACACAGGCATCTTCTTGTTACCACCCCCAGTGAAAGAGCCCTCAGGGGTCTCGCTTGGACTAGGTGCAACCATCAGTCTTATTTCACCAACAATGCTGAGGACCTGGTGGGAATAGCTCCACCACTCAGGCTTCCGGTACAAGAGCACTGGCGGTGGTGGTGGTGTTTCCCACCCTGGCCGGCAAATCAGCTTGGGCCATCCCTGGTCAGCTGGAATAAACCCTCACACCGTGAGTGCTCCCTACTCTGCTGGTGGGGAGAGGAGAGACGCCATGTGTCCAGACAGTGATACTGGCACCCACATGGTATCTTTAAGGCCATCAGAAGCTTTGATGAAGCCTTCTCTACATGAGGACTTTTCCTTGCTGGTAGTTTATGAGACACTCTTATGCCAAATTTGGAGAAAGTGCACCTCTGAGAAATTGTAAATGTATAAGCTGCGTTCCTAGCATGTTATCTGCTGGCAGAATCCTTAAAGGTTTTTCCTGAATAAACCCTAGTGTTAATGGTCCTCTGGGATGTTCTTGTGGGGTTGTATGATGGACAGTCATGCTAATGTCATAACCCTTCTTAGATATGTGTGATGTGGCCTAATGTGCAGGTATTTCCATTTTCAAATCTTAGAAAGATTCTGAACCCTACAGTAGGGTGTACGTAGTGGTAGGATTTAATTTTCCTCTGAAATTAGTGCATACTTCACCCAGGTTATTATGTCTAACCTTCATTTACAGTTTTGAAAAATGAAATTGTAAGATTTCCTAACAGAAAGCATTGACAGTGAATGACGTGCACCATACTTCAGGACCTGTTCAGAGTTTCTAATTGTGTTTCTCCTCCTTCTTTTCCCACCCCCCCCCAGATGAATCAACTCCTAAGGAAGTCAGCAGGGTAAGTAATAAATACAATTTCCACTACCACTACTAGAGTATAGGAAATGAGACATTCCTTGCTTTCTTAGCCCTCTAATCTGGTAAAGTATTAGAAAATCACAGCAAAAACTGGGTGCTGTCTCCAAGGTACGCACCTGTCGGTACGGAATAAGATAGGTCAGTAGAGAGATGAGCTGCCAGTTGGCAACCTCAAGATGGAACACAGGGCAAATGCGGTTTGCTTCATTGTGTGTGTCCGTGGGGTTTTCTGAATCAGTGGCTGACATTGAGAAACTGAAAGACTGCATATAAAATCTTCAAGATTCTCTTGAAGAACTAGAAGATAAGACATTGCCAGCACAACGTTCCCATACGGCAGCCATCCAAGACCACATAGTTAAGAGACTTAACTTAGCAAGCTCAAAAACTTGGGGGTGGATGAATCTTGAAAGCATTTGGTATATTGTGTGTAACACTACGAAATTATAAATTGCATAAGAAAAAGTATTTTGCTTCCTATATACATAAAGACATTAAATGCAGATTAAACATTGAAAATAATCATGATGGATTGCATCTTATGCAGCCTGATATAGGAAATCACTCTTCTTGGATGTAAATTGAAGAACTGGTAGTAGAATCATAGATTTTATGTAGACGAGTTCTAAAAATTTTAATCATATGAAGAAGGAAACATCTAGGAAGCCCCTCGCCCCCATATTTTATTTTGGTGGTAGAACTGTTTGAACTCATGTTTTTCACGCTTGCAAAGCAGGTGCTCTACCACTTGAGTCACACCTTCAGTCCAGAAGGAAACATCTAAATGACTAGAGCAAGCGTTGGGGACTGGTGACTAGCTGGAGGCTTCTGTGAACCTCAGGGCTGAACCTCATGCCTTCGCTATTAATTTCACATCTACAGAGTTCATAGTGGTAGAGCTGGCAAATGTAAGTGCCCCAAGATGTGCCAAGGGGTGGACGGGTCAGTCTAGAATTTTGGTGTCTGTAAGGAGCAGCAGAAAGTGCTTTAAAGTGATGCATGAGGATGGAAAGGGGATTCTGACAAGAGAACTCAGGCAGTTGTAAACCACTGGGTCATTGCTACTGGCAAGACTGCTGGGTCAGAGTTCTGAAGCTATATGACATGTCCTATAAATCAAGGCACAATAGGAAGAAAACTGCTGTCAAATCATCAATAATCCCTGATGAGAAAAGCCAGACTAACTTTTTCTGTGTAGGAAACAACTTTAATTTAACCTTTACAACCATAAAAAGATTTTAGACTTTGTTTTTTTTGAGGGAGGTGAGAGAAGGAATACCTAAAGCAGGTAGTTCCAAGCCATCACTGTGTTTTGCTCCTTTCTTATTCCAGTGATAAGAAAGATACACTGCTGTCAACATACTGACTCTGTGCACCTACGTAATGCAGCACACTCCCTTAGCCTTCAGAATCCCAGAATATAAGGGTTTCATAGCATAGCCAATTTTGCTTTTGCATCTCACTTCTTCATATACAAGCCATGTTATATTTGGGAAGGGTGATAATGTAGATAAAGAATAGATTTTTTATTTAGTTCATTTCTGTGTGCTTCGGTTATGTAGTGTTGCGAAAACACCTGGGGTTCAGGTGTGACACTGTACACATGCTCCCTATTCTGCTAATGGGGAGAGGAGAGACACCATGTGTGCAGAAAGTGGTACTGGCACCCACATGGTGTCTTTATGGCCGTTAGAAGCTTTGATGAAGCTTTACATGAGGACTTTTCCTTGCTGGTAGTTTACGAGATTCTCTTATGCCAAATTTGGAGAAAGCATGTCTCTGAGAAATTATGAAGCTGCGTTCCTAGCATGTTATCTGATGGCAGAATCCTTAAAGATTTTTCCTGAATAAATTCTATATTTTGATCAGTGCTTATTTGACTAACACTCAGAAAACAATCTCCTGACAATAAGTGTCTCTTCAGTGAGGTAGGCTCTCCCCTCCCTGGTGGTGCTGATTACTGTGAAGTTCTTCCTCACTTAGAGCCCAAGGCTTCCCCTTGATTGTTATCCATGTGTATTTTGACTTTTTTTAGTACCTCCCAGGGTGTATGTTCTACTGCATGGGTGAGCTCTTTGAGCACAAGGATTTTGCTCTTTCTAGAATGGTAAAACATCTTTTTAAACTTGTTTTTCTGCATGCTTCCTCGGTACTGCTTAACAATGTCTAAACAAACTGTACATTGTGGCTATTAAAATATTTTTAAACTGTTGCAGCCATAACATGATGCTAAGACCAACTGATAACTTCTGGTGGGACAGATGCCTGTCTTGGTTTGGAGACTATATATTGTCAATACAGTTTTAAGGGAGAATTAACATTTTAAGGAAACTATAGGGCATTTGTGGCTATTGAGCTTTTAGTAAACTATTTTTTGTTCGTGAAATCAAGTTAGATCTGTAAATCATAGATCTCTTCTCTCTCTTCTCTGGTTTTCCCTTCCTCCCTTCCTCTTTCTGTGCATATGCCTCCTTCCCTGCCATTCCGTTGACACACAGTTGTTGACATTTATATGCCAAGCATCATTCTAAGGTGTTTGAATACAGTAGTGAGCAGAGCACACAACATTCTGATTCTCAGTGTCTAGAAGGACCGGTGGAAACAACTGAAATATGTGTGTGTGTATACATATACACACACATACATACATATAAATATACGTGTATATGTAACAGGCCATGATAAATACTATGATGAATATGTAGAAGAACAAAGCACAAAGTGGACAGAGTAATGGTGGATTGGGGTGGCCTTGTGCATACGGAGTAATCAGGAGAGGTAAATTTGGTAAGTGCATTTAAGCAGGATTCTAGTAGCAATAAAAGAATCAGCCAGAAGGAGGGGCAGTGACCTCAAAGGTCCTGAGTTGGCCAGTGTGACTGGAGCAGCATGAACAATGGCGATAGGATAGAGGGTGAGGCTGGAATAGAAGAGGGGTGTTTAGGGCCTTTCAGTCTACTACATAGCCTGCCTGTGGATTTAATTCTGGGATATTTGGAAGCTGTTGGGTAAACCCAGTGGAGAGGCAATGCCATATAACTTGCATTTGAACACCGCCCTGCCCCTCCCGCTGCTGAGGGCAGGGGCACACAGGAGGCACTGGTCATCATCCAGGAGTGAAGGAAGATGTCTGAGGTCGGGATTGTCATGGTGGAGTGACCATTGGGGCCAGTGTGCTGGGAGGGAGGAGCTGACAGGCTTTGCCAGGGGTGGTAGAAGAAGGTGGGAAGAGGAATCAGTGTGGATTCCTAGTGGTTTTAGTCTATGTGCTGTGAGGACACAGATTCTCTTCACATCGTGGGAGGACACAGATGGAATGGAGCTCAGTGAGGATGAGAATCATTTTACTTGGAACATGTTAAATCTGAGTTACTAGACGTGGAATTGGAGATGCTTGGAAAGCAAGGGCATACCTTGTCATGCCCAGAAGACAGGTCCCAGGGAGAGCTGTGTTTTGGAAGTCCACATTGTACAGAGGGTGTGTAAGAATGTGGGACTCAGTGTCCACAGAAGAGAGGAAAGATATGAGCATGAACCTCTGATACTGCAGTGGCTGGGTGAGCAGAAGATGAGGACAAGTCAGCAGTGGAGATGCAGAAGGGAGAGGAATGAAGTAGGAGGCAACTGAGAAGCACCTTCCTTGCCATGTCTTGCTTTAGAATTTTAACTTCAGGGCAGCAATTTACTTTAACTCCATTTCAGCTGGTTTTGATGTGCACTCTAATGATATGAGCCTCTATTTTACATTTATCATGCAGCATATTAGCTTTTGTTTGTTAATACATTTGAGTAATTTTTGCATGTTGTTTCCTGTGCTGCTTTTCAAAAATTTATCGCCCAGGACATTGTGAAGGGTGGAGACATCACCTGCATGAACAGTGTGAGATTGTATCAGATGCTTTCCTGAAGCCAGCATATTTGGGCCAGCCTGACTTTCCAATCACAACCTCATCATTAATCTATAAATATTAATTCTACTTTTCTAGGCTGTTGGGACTCATCAGGAAGAAACAAGAAATTTCCTGCCCTCAGCCATTTGCATAGGTGTGGTGGTGGGGTCAGGAATCTCAGTGGATGAGTACTGAGTGCCCTGTGCTCGTTGACCATGAGTGCTGTGACCACGGGCAAAGCTAGAGGCAGGGAAGGTTTGGGCTGGGTGTGTGAGTGTGTGGCCAGGAAAGGCTCACCTGGGACATGTTGGAGGAGGGGTCTGAGGGATGTGAATGGGTGGAGGAGCTCTGCAGGCAGATGATACAGAAAGTGCTAAGGCCCTGAGACAGGAGTGAGCCTGGAGCTTTCCTGACACAGCCAGGACCCATCCTGGCTACATCTGAGGGAGAAAGGGAAGAAAAAAAGGAGGGAGGGAGTTTAGAGAGACTGGGTGGCGAGACTTGGGGGTTTATAGGATCCATCACATCGTTATTTACTATTTGTTTTCATGTAATCAACACTATTAGTCATTTCTTTTATGATCACTGTTACAGTGGTTGTCAAAGAGTGGGTTCACCTTAAAAGTAAATACAGGGCTGGTAGAGCGCCTGCCTAGCAAGCGTGAGGTTCTGAGTTCAAACCCCAGTATCACAAAAAAAAAGTTCTTTTAAAAGTAAATGAAAAAGATTGCTGACAAGACCAGGGAGAGAACACATCAAGATATGAGCGTCTGGACTAGCTGTTAGCGTATGCCACAGAGTAACCAGGTCTGAGATTCTTGGGAAAAGTCCTTGCCTCTCAAAATTTGAGGATATGTTCCATTACGCTCCAGTAAACAGGATTGTGAAGGAGCAATCTGAGTCTGTTCTAGTGTTTTCCTTAATGTATGTTGACTTTTTTATTTCCAAGTATTTCTAGAAGTCTACCACTTGCTCTTAGAAGTTAGTTATTTTTACTAGGCCATTTGAAATTGTTTTCACTTTTATTAAGTCAGCCTGGTGTGTGGAGAGCTTGCTTGATCATGTTAAAAACTTCTAATTTAGTTCAGGA